AAATTTTTTTTTTTTTTTTTTTTTTTTATGAATTATGTTTTTAATAATCCCTAATCATCACCCATTTATGACAAAAAATCGGCCGAAATCTAATTTAATAATAGATAATAATGGATAATTTTTGGGGAAGGAAAATTTATTCCGAGAAAGCAATAGGAGAATGAAGAGATTAGCGAAAACTTTAAAAGAGTACAAAGATTAGGTTAGGATGAAGAACTAAAAATAGAATTAAACCAGGGGAAATGGAAAATAACGAATAATTTTAGGAAGTGATTGCTTTCATAGACTCTTTTTTTTTAAAAGATGAAACGCGTTTTATTCATTATGAAAAAAATGTACTATGGTAAATAAGGTTTAAAATGTTTAAGACACTTTCTAAATTAAGAACATAGGTTGTTGGATTTACATGATACAAAAGACGGTATAAAGATAAGTGTTGAACTTAAAAACTAATATTAATATCGTATAAATATTATAAAATATATTTAAAATATTTTACTTTTGGAATTATCAAATTTTTTTAAAGTTTCTTTATTACCGGCTTATTATTTTGGTTAGTAGATTAATCGGGATTTACTGCAATGAAAAAGGAACTCCTTTAAAAGGTTAGTCATTAATTTTGTCATCCGAAATCCTTCACAAAAGAATTCTTATTATTCTTATTATTTTATTAGAAATAATTATTAAAAATTGGTCGTTTTTTTTTTATTCCTATATTCCTTATATACATATACAAATATATATTCATTTCAATCAGATGATCATCATTGACTAATCCACTAGTCAGGAACAAACAAAAAATCTTTCCGAAATGGTATTCGTTAAACATTAATTAGTAAAACATTTGAAACATACTTATAAATTTAGCACATGTTCCAATCAATATTAAACGAATAGAACCGCAGCAAATTTAACGGAAGTTTCTTACGTCATTCCTAAAGGTTTTTTATTTTAAAATAAATTTACACAAATTCTTGATTTTTTAAAAAAAATTCGGTGTTTCCGAATTTAACTCCTTCCATTCCTTCCATTTAGGGTGAAGGGATGAATGTCAAAACATGTCAAAAATATAAAAGGAAAATTTTAATTAAATACTTTCTTTAAATAGAAAACAGAAAAAAATAATAATAATAAATTTTCATGAATTTTTTATAAAGTTTCCATTGTTCATAAAATTAGTGTAAATTAATAACTCTTTAAAAAGAAATTTATGAAAGAAAATATTTATTTATTTACACAAATAATCTAATAGATTTTTGGATTTTTTTTTTTAAAATATTCACAATATTCACAATATTAAATATTATTAAATATTATTAATTATAGAATATTATTTTTCTATCTGGAAGTTATTGACCGAAATTTTTTTTTTTCCGGTACAATCCCGAACAAATTAAAAATAAAAAATTTCTTTTAAACAATATTAGAATAGATTAACAATATTATATTGAAAAATTTTAACGGAGAACAATACTAAAAAAAATATTCGAACCAATTTTTTTAAAAAATTCCAGAACATTTTCAACTATTTATTTTTTTCCTTTTAGAAAAAAGAAAAAAAATGTTTCAGAAATTTCAAATACCGTTTTTCGATAGATTGTATTTGTATTTTCAGTATTATAAGTATTATAACTCTTTTAACTCTCTTAACTCTTTTTATAAAGTTGCACATTTATTATAACTCTTTTTTATAAGTTTCATATTTATTATAACTCTTTTTTATAAGTTATAACTACAATATATAATTTATCTGAGCCATATTAATGGAAAAAATGTCAATTGGTCTCGTACTTTACAATGCATATAATAAATATATAAAATCTTATTTATTTTTTATTTTTATTTTTATTTTTTTTTAAAAAAGAGATTAATTACTATGTTAATTTTATCGATCGTGAATTTTGATATGTTTTGCTTTTGTTGTTTTGCTTTGGAGTAATAATATTGTATGCAGAAAGTCATTATGTAATTTTCGGAGTTATTAATTAAATAATTTACATAATTTAAATATTTACACATGATATATTATTATTATTACTTGTATTTTATATATTTTATTATATAGACATATAAACATTATCCGGAATAATAATTTAATCAATTAATAATTTTATTTCTATAAAGAAAAAAATCATTTATTTATTATTACAAAGTAATATTACACAAATTTAATTATTGTAATATCAAATATTTATTTGTTACGTTAACCCTGAAGATCCTCACAAACGCTCAAATATTTCTCTCATTGAAGCAAGATTGATTCAACATATTTTGACTCAACATATTTTGACTCAACATATTTTGACTCAACATATTTTGATTCAACATATTTTGATTCAACATATTTGTTTCAACATATTTGTTTCAACATATTTGTTTCAAAAAATAAATATTAAATGTATCAAACGTCAAAAAAGCAAAATAAATAGTAGATAAAGTACATATGCGAGATTTTCATCAGCATCATTTTATTTTATTAGTATTATTATTATTGTTATCATAATCATCTATTAAACTAAACGGGGGAAGGAGGGTAAAATAATTATTAAACCTTAATCTTACTAATTTATAAATTATTAAAATAAAAAAAAAAAAAAAATTGATAAACATAAAAACTTGATAAGAAAAATTAAACATAATTAAAATAGGGGTTTAAAATAAAAGGGGGTTAAAAATTTCAAAGTAATTTTTTAAAAAAAAAGTAGAAATAAATATATTATTTTTAAAATTTTGACGCCATTTAGCCTGCAGATAACGTCAATCCACGCAAAACTAGTAATTAAGGAAATGCAGATTCAGGAAATTCCCAAGGTAAGAACAAGTCGACTTGATCAAACTGTACTCCATTATAAATATCCTTTTCAAAAGTAGTGTCAACTTGCTGAATGTTTATCTGGGAAATCCGATTAAGGGTATCCGCGTTTACATTTAAATCCGTGATTCGTCTTCTGTTGCTATCATTAATTCTATTGATCTCGTGTGCTGAATCTATAAAAATTTGACGTTGAGAACGTGTAGAACGATGCCAAATCCTTTTTGTTGCCATGATAATTACATAATGATTTGATATCATTTGTAATCTTCGGGCCTCTTGGTATATGATTTGTTGCATAAGACCTCTCCCAGTTGCTCTTTTACCATTCCTGAAACGTGCCGCAAACATATTTGAATTATATGATAAGTTGTAAAGATTGTTAATGTTTATATTTTCCATGAGATTTTTTAATATGTTTCGATTCCCTTGAATATTCATTTTTTTTCTTTTTTTCGTTTGAATGGAATGGTTTAATGGAAGAGTTGAATGGAAGGGTGTTGAGAAAAAAAAAAAAACTTGGAAGAATTTATACATAATTCATCTAACGAATTCTTTATTCCGATTCGTCACTAATAATCTATGATTAAATTATAATATGAAAGAAAAGGTTTCTCAAGTTTTCTCTTTAATTAAATCATACCTTTTTTAACCAACCAAAATCAAAAAATTTTATCTATTTTTAAAATAATTTTATTATTCGTCATTTTATTTAGAAAAAAATGACCAAAGAAAAAAAGTTGCTAGTAAAAAAATGACAAAATCTTTTGATCGGATACACCAAATTTATTAAAAGTTTCATTGGGGTTTTTTTTTGTACAAGTTAATAATAATAACAAATAATATAATTGAATATTTTTTTGAATGAAGAATCTGAAAAAGCCTCATAATTTCTTCCCTTTGAACAATAGAATATGAATTTTTGTGTTTAACTAAGCCCCACTATATTTATGCAGGAATATTTTATTTAGATCATATCATAATAAAATACAAATAATTAATATCAATGACCGACAACAAACCAAAATTTCCGACTGGTTTCTACATTTTTACATAACAATAAGATGTTACATAACTCCTATTGGTTCAATCAAAGATGAATGAGCCATAACCTTATTCTGTTCTAACCGATGTTTAAATATATATAGAAGGAACCCAAGTACTTCATTGTATAAATTGCAATGCAAGATATTGCATATTATACAAATTTACTTATATGTTAAAGTATGAATCAATTGTATAATAAGCACAGATCCCTTCCCAACTTTGTATCTAAATTATTTTTTCACATTGAATATCTTTACACATGGCCACATGTCTACATTACAATGACTATTTGCATTAATGTTTATTTTTTTTGTGACAATAGCTATTATAATTACTCTGATTACGCCTTAATTAAATCCTCTTACATGTAATTAACACGACTTTCGTATATAGTTTGTATGTATGCTTGGTTTAGATTTACGCCGAACTAATAAATAGATTTTCATCAATAAATAGATTTTCAGTTTCATCAAAAATAAAACCAATGGATTTAACAAGGTTCTTGATTTAAATGTAAAATAACGTCATGTCTAGGTTTTTTTTAGCATAACTGATAATAGATAATGGAAAATGAAAAATAAAATTAAAAAAATAATAATTAATACTTGTAATTAAAAAAAAAAAAAAATCTTTGACGACAATGAACTATTCCTTTTATGATTTATTATTGATTCCGGATTTTCTTCCTTAAAAAACGAGATCGGACAAATGAAACAAAATAATGGGTTACAATGATAAAAATATATATATATATATATACTTACCGTATATATAGTCACATTATAATAATAATTGTGTGCAAAATAATGATTGTGTTCATGATTTACGTTCGGAACTTGTTTTTATTGATGTTTCATTAAATATTAACTTTTAAAGTCCATTATGTTACCGACCTTTTATGCATCGGTTACAATTGGAACTAGTTACACATACATATAAATAAAAAAAAAAAAATTGTAGTTATCGTATAAAATAAAATAAAAAATGTTATCTTAAAATTTTAAACCATATTATAATATTATTATTAATATTATTAATATGGTTTTTTAGTTTTTACTATAACTTATAATCAAAAATATTTCTCAAAAATATTGTTATTTGAAACTTAATTATTTAATTATTTCTAATACTAATGGAAATTTGAATAGGTATTCGTTGTTGCGTAAGAGGTGGATGGAAATTTACATTCGTGTTGTTTGTCATTAAATGAACGGATGAAACAATGTGATATGGTCTAGAATTTTTACGTGAATAGTAATATTTCGCATCACTCTGAAAATAAAGACTTTGAACTTCATTAGATAATTGAGTATATTGTTGTCTTTGTTGACGAGTAGCATAAGTCCAAAAGAAATTTGCTTCGTGATTAATGAGTAATCGATCATTAAATCCAAGTCTTTTAGCTTCTTTGGCAAAGTTGATTCTGAAAATATCATATATGGATGGTGGTTTAGTTAAATGGCGTCTCGAATTTAAATACAATTGTAATAATTCATTGGGATTCCTATATACTGGAGGAAAGATATTTCCACGATTGATTCCATTGCGTAACAAAGTAGTAGTGTTCATGTTAAAGAAGGTAAAGGAATGTTTGTTAATAGTTAGTAAATTATCAAATAATTTGAAATGTAAAAATTTTTAAAAGGGATATATTTATAATCGAAAGATTATATAATCGTTATCTGATAAAGATGATTCTTAATTCTCGTTTTTTAAACCGCTACCAGAAAATCTTCATAAATAAAATTTAAAAAGGAAATGTCAGTAACCTATTGAGTCAATGATTAGATTATATTAACAACGTATAAATTTATCGGAGAAAGGAGTTCGAAATATGATTTATTTGCATGCTTGTGTAAGACTTGGCATTTGTTCATACTAAATACATTTATTTTGGTTAAGAGAAGTTGTATATACTTAATAAACTTCAAAGATTTCATTGTGATTAACACGATCCTCTAAAATTCATGAGTGATTATCTTGATTGAACTTTTTATTCTCCTTTCTAACTCAAATACTCTAATTTTATTTTTATTTTTCTTTTTTACTAAAATTTTGACATTTAAGACTTTTTTAATATTTATGACTAAAATTAATTTCCCTTACATTCATTCCCTTACCTGTTTCAGATTAATTTTCTGATCACTAGTCAGGTACCAATTTTTTTGTTCCTTTAGGTAACCATACTTTTCACCATATTTCATTCTAAAATATTTTAAACCAAAATAAATAATAATAATTCATGATACATATACAATTATACATTATTTAATTTTATAAAAAAAAAAAAGATTAGATTTAAAATTAAAAGTCCATTATATAATCAAATTTTAAATGTGTTAAATGTGTCACATACTTTATTTATTGGTCATTATTTAAATTACTAACATATTAACAAAGAAATTATTCCATTAATATTAAGCAAAAAATTTTAAGCGATTTTGGAGAATCCGATTATTTTGATTATTTTGATTAATTATGAAATTTTGGATAAAAGTTTTTGATTTATCAAAAGTTTGAAACTCGCATGAAAAAATATTGATAGGTTATCGCGATAAGAGACATTTATGAATATATTAATATTTTTTGTTAATCATTTTTGATAAAAATACAAGTTATACCGGTAAGTTGTCCATTGTGAATTATTTAGTAAATAACAATAATAATAATTAGTAAATGGTATCATTATTTTTAATTTGTGTAAAAAAAAATATTTATTATTTTTTTTGGGCAAAATTAGCTAAAGTTGGTAAAAATTATAAGTAAAAAAAAGAATATTAGTAATGAATTATTATTTATTGAAAAGTCACACTAAAATTTTTTATTACAAGTCGTAAATAAGAAATCTTTTTTATTCAATAATAATAATTTCTTTTCATGTCAAAATTACAAATTCCTTTGTCCTTTGTCACTTAAAAAAGAAAATAATAAAATCAGTTTCTTTATAAAGTTATTAATAAAAAATTGTAAAAAAATTCATTCTCCGAATACTTCCCGAACTATATATTCTATGAAATTCCTTCTGGGGGTTAAATGGAATAGGTTAAAAATAAGATTAATAATGGAGCTACGCCAAGCCTTTTCATTAATAAGCTGGGACGGATAGTAGTTTACCCGTGCGCCACAATAACACATAATAACACATAATAACACATAATAACACATAATCACGTAATGCATAATTACATAGCATCGATCAGCCACAAACGATGACGATGAACAGTGATTTTCGAAAACTGATCGCGTGTGTCATTTTGTGACGAACTATTTTTTTTTTTTTTTAGTAAAAGTTCATTAAAATACATTTTTAAATTTATTATTTATTATTTAAAAATTTTAAAAATAAAACTTTATTATTTGATTTATAATTTTTTCGGGAACCTATTGAAAATGATTAATATAGTAAACCAATTAAAGAAAAATTCTTTTAAAGGATAATAATTAAAAAAATATCGGATAAATTAAATCCATGTATTGATCATATGGTACATACATAAAACGCCATAAATGAAAAGTATGAAAGTTCATTTTAAATGAATTTGTACGAAAAGAAAAAAAGAATTCATTAAGACTACAAATATGCATGTAAACGGACCAATTAAGAAAAATATAGATAACGGAAAATATTCCTTAATATAAAATTAATCTGATTAACCCTTATTTTGGTAACTTCCTTAATTGGATGTTTAATTCTTTGAATGATGTAAATAAAAAAATAATTGTCTTCATTTTTATATTTTCTTGGCAGGACTAAAAAAATACAATAAATGATTTTCAAAATATTTTAATCGGTACGCCATCAATTCGAAATTTTTAATATTTTTTAAAAAAAAATCGACAATAAATTAATTTTTTTTTATGTATGTTGTGTGTTATAAATGTGAATATCCATATCTAATCTAATTCATTCGATCATTTTATTAATAAAGATAAAAAAGTTTCATTCATGTAACTCAATGTCTAGTCGTTTCCGATTTTAATTTTGAAATATTTGAAAAATATAAAAAAAAAAAAAAAAAAAAAAAAANAAACTGATCGCGTGTGTCATTTTGTGACGAACTATTTTTTTTTTTTTTTAGTAAAAGTTCATTAAAATACATTTTTAAATTTATTATTTATTATTAAAAAATTTTAAAAAAAAAAAAAAAAAAAAAAATATAAATATATCATCATCATATCACAAGTAATAATTATCAATGTATGCATTAAAATGTCGTACGATACTTTATTTGGGATTTTGTATCTCAGAAACTTCATTGTGTTTGTTTTTCGATCTGCAGTAGCTGCATAAAATGCCTATCATGAATTTGGTAATTAAAATATCCTATCATTTAAGTAGCCTGAATGGACAAATATGGTAAATTTTACCGTGAAAAAATTCGAAAAATATTTATAATATTTTATCCTTTATTTGAAAAATAAAAAAGCAATAATATTTATGCTATTCAGATTTCGGAAAGCAATGAAAGGGTTCTGCGTTGTAACATTGTATAAGAATTTTGAAATGGAACACAAAATAATATTTATTATATTCGGGTTTGTTTTTTTATAGTTTTTTTTTTTATTAAAAAAAGATCATTAATCAGTTATTATTTTTTATTAATAATTAAATTTGAAGTTAAATTATGCAAAATACATATCACGACATTAATGTAATTTATGATAAGGAATTGGCGGAGAATTTATTAGTAATAGATAATCTAGTAAAAACTCGTTTGTAAACTATATGGAGTTATATATTTGTCATATAGTACCAACAAGGTAATAAAATCACTATATTTTACCATGTTAAAAAAAATTTTACGCCGTAAAAAACCAGGGAGGGAGGGGGGAAAAAAATTTTCTTTCAAATTAGGTTAGATAACACGTCAAGGGTTTCTAAAAGAATTACAAATTTAGTTAGTAGAATGATCTTCTTCTTTTTGTGATAATGATATTAAACGCCTCATGATCGTTTTGCCACACTTAAGTGAATCACGTTCTGCTTTTGGAATATATGATGAAATATATTTGTGACTTTTCGGTAATGACCTATTTGCGTTCAATAAATCTTGCAGATCATTTGCGCCACATATTATATCGCGTTGAAAAAAAAATTGAATAACACACTATTTTTGAAATTTCCCGTTTTTTATCTTAGGTTAGGTGAATTTTTTTTTAAATTAGAACATGAAAGATATTGAACACAAAGAAAATTATTATCTAAATTCAATATCGTACACCAAAAAACTTAACGCGCGTTCATTTATAATGAAAAAATTTAATAACATTAAAAATTATATATATATTAAAATTAATTAAAATTAATTAATCAAAGAAAACTTTACTTTTTAGTGCACTCGCATTGCAGCACACAACTTTCGGGATTAAAGTAAGCAGAATTGGGATTAGTCAAAATATTAGGTAAGGTTTATATAGAGTACTACTGTGATGCATAAAAAAAAAAAAATAACTAATGCTCATTAATTAATTAAAAATTTAGTATTAATTATATATGTATGTATGTATTTCTGTTTATGTTATTATTTTTTTATTATTGAAACTTATATAGTTATATATATATATATATTATATATCAGTACATTAAAAAAAAAAAAACATTAGTTAATATTTTAATAGTATATATATTTATTATGTAAGAAAACCGGAAATTTAATGAAATCTTTTTTTAGTTTTAATTCCGTTGAATGTTTGATGATAATAAAAAAAGTAAATTAAAAAAACATATATAAAAAAGAAAACATTAACAAGATTTATAACCTGTTTAAAAAAAAAAAACTGCCGAGACTTCAAAAAAAAATAAAAAAAATCGAATTAATATATACTTTAATTTTAATAACAATATAGTATCACTCTAGGTTTGTAATTTATATTGTTTGTCATAAATTTTTTTCAATATATATATATGTAAATTTTTTTTTCCGATTGAAAAATAAAATTCTTTTTTAAGAACTAAGATTGTCTGTCCTCCAACGTACAATATAAATAAATCTTTTTAAAGTACTGAGGTGATGATTAATGCATTGTGAAAGACGATTTCAATTTATATAAATACATGGGGATTTCACTCTTCTCTAATCTTTTGCCATTGGAAAAACTCACGAAAATTAAAGCAACATTAAAAAAAAAATCTTGGCAATCACTTTAAAAATATTTTTTTAATACAAAATTTTAAAGAGATCGTCCATTAAAAATAAACAATAAAAAATATTTTAACGAAATAAAGCGTTTGCCAAGATATAATCGATGGCCACTCCCAATTTTTCGTTAGACTTTTTAGTCGATAATTTAATGAACAAGATCGACAGAAAAATGATTTTTCCACCTCATTTAAATGATCCGGTAGAGTTATTGACTACTAGTTTTAATAGAACTAATCGACCAACTCGTCCCCCAAATGGATTTCTTCTTTGTCGCAAGAACGTTCACCATATCGCAAAAGAAGTAGGAATAGTTAATATGAGAGTTATTAGTAAAGTTAGTGGCATTTTATGGAGAAGTGCTTCTTTAGAAGAGAAAGAAATGTATGAAAATTTAGCGAGTGAAGTTAGTTTCGTTTACACTCAAAGGTATAATATCGAAACGTATAATCAATCTACTCATGTAAGAGGAATTATACCAGCTTATATGCCCTACCATATTCCTCGTTTTAACTCGTATAATAATTTTTCTTCTGCTTCTTTGACAACCTCTCCAACTGAATATCCTCTTATTCCGGATTTTCCAATGGAACCTTTTCCTAATGGGCTTGGATTAAACTTTGAAAATTTCGATTCCGAATGTTTTTTTATGTATATTAATAATGTATCGGCGGAAATTTAAAAACATTATATTTCCTTTTCGCCGAAAAAAAAAAAAAAAAGTACCCCTAATTTTTCTTATTTTATTATCGACTTGATAAGTTATCAAATTTATCTAATAATGGGATTTTCTTATTATACTATTTTTTTTTTTTATATAATTATATATATATGTTATAGTCAATACTAATTTTAGTAATTTTTTATGAGATTTCTTTCTTTTTTTTTACAAATTACTTTATTATTTTTTTTTTATGTTACTAGTAACTATGTTTTTAAATAATTTTAACTATGTATGGAAAATTACGTATATTGTAGCCTACTTATGTATTTATGCAACTTATATATGGATTGATTGATATTTTAAGAATTTAATAAATTAAGACTTATAAGCTCAAGCTATTAGTTTATCTTCATGGATTAAAGTAGCACTTTTTTTTTATTATTATTTCTGTTTAAAAAAACTGTACCGAAAACCATTGTATTTTTGCGTAATAAAGTTACGCGTAAGAGTTTGATTACCAAATTTTTTATATAAAAATAATTGAACGCCCGCGATCGACTTTGGGTTTGTGACCCAAAGTTGGAATGATCAATGTAATACAACGATATAAAAAAATAATTGACATATATGTAACCATCTTTAATGAAGAATAATTAAAATTAATTTGGAACGGAAATGTTATTTAATTTAAGCGTAATAGTTTTTCAATAATTTTGTATTTTTATTTATTTTATAATAAAAATTTTAATTTGGGCCGGCATTATAAATTTAAAACTCCACTTAAAAAGACTTTGGTAAATATAGATAATCAAAGTAGATCTTTAAAATTTTTCGCGCTTTCGTTCTTTTCTCGAAAAAAATCGTATTTTTGTTTGATAAGAAAGTTTTGGAACTGGCACTTTTTCAAATTTTTATTGTGTGTAACAGTTTATATATTCGGAAGAAAAAAAAAAATAAATTTTTAATCCCTTCGGAAATGTCATTTATGTAAAAAAAGTTATATTACGGCAGATTACTTTAAATTAACTAATAATTAATGATGCATATTTTTCATTTTATTACTTTTACTTCACTGAAAAAGAAAAAAAGGATTTTCCAAGTTTCACAGCGATTAATGTATTAATAATAAATTATTCGCCAATAATATTTTAGTTAAAAACTTTTGTGAACTGTGAAGTTATCGGATTATGGATTATCGAATTTTTTATTGTATTTTATTGTAAATAATAACACGTGTCGTGTAATAATAGCCAAATCGTAATAAATTATTTATGCACGTTTAGAATAAAGTCACCAACTTTCAAAAACGTATATTTAAGATTAAAACATTCAATACACTATAATATGGTAGATCTTTATATTAAAAAAATTTTTTTTTTGTTGATGCAAAAACTACTTGATGTATCGGATTTAAGTAACACATCATTGTCATAAGTTAATTTAATGCATTTATATATATATATAATTTTTTTTTTTTTTTGTGTTATGTGATAACTTTCTACCATTTTTGATAATCTTTTAATCCTCATCTGTTTATTATTTATTATTAAAATTAAAATATGAGATAAAAAAGGTTAAGTTCATTAAAAAAATGCAACATATTATGTAAAAAGACACCATTTTTATTTTTTTTACTTAAACTAAACGATCATTATATAATAAAACCGCGAAAAACTATTTTGTTTCGGGTTGGTCCATTAGAGAACCTTTCTCTTTTTTTTTAATTCTTTTTATTTAAATATTATATCGCGTTTTTTAAAACTAATTATGAATAATTCACATATAGAAATGATCTTTTTAAAAACCTTGCGGCGCAGCGATCTCGCTAAAATTAGCAATAAATATCAGGATATGTGGCAAATTTACCTTGTTAGGAACATTTATTATATAAAATTGGCGTGAAAATAACAATTTTGTCAATTAACTCCATATATGCGCCAAGAGAAATTTCTCAAAAAAAAATAAAAAAAATTTCAAATTCGCCACACACAACAGAAACATACTATTTGTAATACAAACTTTTAAGTTTGAAGTATAATGACGAACGTTAGCATAATAATAAAAAAGTACGTTTATGCAAAATCCAAAAAGATTCTTTTCCGATTAATAACGTATTCTGATTTGCAAAAAAGGTCTCTCTATATATGCTACCAATTATACACTAGTGTATTTCCAAAATTGTAGATCGATATCATGAAAATCATTACATCACCCTGCAACTATTAATAGATCTTTACAATTTTTGGAATACAAGTTTTAAAAATTTTGACTTTACCATTTATTTTATAATATTAATTGACCTGAATAAAAAAATTTATATATTCTAAAAATCTTCCCACGAGATTCAAAAATATAAATTATGTTAGAAACCATCATTTACACTTAAAAATTTAAATACAGCACATATGCGAACTATGTTTATATTTATTGGATAGAATGAGAGGATGAATACTATCTATTATCTGGGATGCTTTCGCATTCATGTCATTTAAATTTCACATAATTTTCAATAACGAAAAAATCATTTACAATCCGTATTATCTAGTATAAATTAATTGTAATTCGAATTTGTTTGAACGAAAAAGGTATGTATAACTTGTAAATTAACGAGATGTTGAGTTAAAATCAGCAAATATAAGCTAGTTATTAACGTTTTATTTAATTATTGAACGGTTAAAATCTTCTAGACCGTTTGAAGATCTATTTAAATAATCCAGCAACGTTTAAAGCACGAATTGTTACTTATTATCAGGATAAAACTATACCATGTATTTTATTAATGGTTAATTTATGAATATTATTCTCGTAATTGAGATATTTTTTGCAAATTACAAATATTCTGAGGTAATTAAATTAATCTGTAATATTTAATCTATTCTTTTTGATTTTATAATGAATATTTGATGTTATAATTAATACAAATTATCAAATTAACTAAATATTTTTATGATTTTAATCATATAGGTATCATGATGAATGTATATGATCTGATTTTAGTTGTTAACATTCATCATGATTATAATGATTATAATTGTAAGTGATTTTGACTTTTTCGTTTTTAAGAAAATTCTTATTCCTAGTACAGCCCTAAATCCATTTTAAATAATATACCAAGAAATTCATCAAAATCAAAATAATTTAGTGGTTTGGAGGGGGTAAATTCAATTAATTTGTGGGGTTAGGAAATAATTATCGGCAAGATTTTGGTGTAATGGCAACAAAACCCGGTATCTATTATTGAATGTGGTAAAGGACCACAGAGAATCAGAGAATCAGTATCAGAATAATAAAGCTCCAATCCTAGTTTAATTGCCTCCAATTTATATTTATTAATAATCATTCTAGAATAAGCCGTAACTGCAGAGGCAATAGCTATATTGGTATTACCTGGTAATCTGGTGATATCTACGTAAAGATTTGGGGGAGTGATGCTATATTATAACTAATTATAACTTAACAAGATGTAGTAAATATATCTAATTTTGAGATTCCCGACGTAATAACTACACGACAATAAATCCCATTCTAAAAAGATTTGATCATACATACTATGTATTAATAAAGTATCATCCGGTAAATTGGTAAATAATCTTTTTTACATAATTTAAATTATAAATAACGACAATTCCCATTTCCTATATACTGTACATCAAATATATTTATTCAACAACGTGGTTTGTTAAATTAATCATTGCTAATAATTGATCACTTATAATTAAAATAATTACCATACATTAATTGTAATTTTAATAGTGCGTTAATGTAACTCAGCTGATTAAGTGATCATCTAAACAAAAATGAGAACGTATATGTTTCAAAGAATTACCAATCACTTGATTAAAAAATAAAAATTTTTATCATATAAGTTCGGATTGAAAATTATTTATCATATGTGTTATATGCAGGCCGATCTGATCGTTGGAATTAAACTACAATTTGATATTGGACCAAATTAAATTTACACTCATCATTCCTCACCGTGATACTACTCAATTTGGCTTAGTTTTTTTTTTTTATAATAAACCGGAAACTACGCTATATGGTAAAGCGATTTTTTTTTAGTATAGTCACGGTGATAAGTCGATTCTGGAAAGTCTATAATGCATTATGCTTATCTTTAAGATAATATAGATTACCAAACTTATATCGCATTATGCTTATCTTTATTATAATAAAGATAATATAGATTACCAAAGCAAGCAAGACTTATATACAAATATATGGTCCAAATAAAAATCATAAATTTACTTTAGCTTTAATAGCAAGAATACCAACCCAGAAAATTTCAGCTTACCATTAATATTTTTTTTTTTATTTAATAAATTTCTAACAAAGTGATACGAAGCCGACGAAACTAAAGATAAGAAATTAGGACGAGTACGTTTCTTTGTTTCAACGTAATAATAAACGTCATAAACTTAGTTAATGTGAATATTCATATTTTAGTAAAAGACATAATTTTTACGTACCAAAATGTTTACTAGTGCTTCGATCCAGGTGAAATTCGAACTTCTGATGATTTAATCCGGATGAAAACTTTTAATTAATGAAAATCCGGATAAAAGATAATTATTTTAGAATTTTAGCTTTACCATTATATATTTATATGCTCATTGGTCTTGGAAATATTTTGTAATCCGAAATTTGACGATCCGGATGTATCCGCACGATTTTCATCCGGATCTTCGGTTTAATCCGGATCAATATGGATCAATCCGTACACTGATCGAAGCACCTGTCCACACGTTTTATATACCTTTTTTTATTACATTTCTTTAATAACTTCCTAAAATGTAAATTATCAAAAAAACTTTAGCTATAATTATTTGTAATCCTCAATCTGGCTTAAGTTTTTTTGAATAAAACCGGAAATTGCACTATGTGGGTAAAGCGATTTTTGTTATGGTTTTTTAGTATCTTCACATCACGGTGATAAGTCGATTCCGAGAAAGTGCAGATATATCATATATCTGTAATGTATTATATTTATCTCAGTATTGTTACATTATTACAATAAAGTAAGACTTACTTCGTTAAAAACTAAAAAACTAAAAATTATGGTAAAGCGCAACCAAATAAATCATAAGTTTACCCTTGTTTTAACTAACCAAGAAAATCTCAGTTTATCATTAATAATTTTTTTTTTTATATTTCTAGCAAAGTAGAACGAAGCAGATGGAACTGAAGATAAGAAATTAGGACATTTTTGAGACGTGCACGGTTCTTGTTTAAACATAATAAACTTGATTAATGTGAATCGTAGGCCAATATTCGTATTTACTGTCAAATAACTAATTATTAATTAATCCTTTTATTTCAGAATAGATATATTTATTACGGAAATATTTGTTTAGAAGATTATGAAAAACCTGAGATAGTTGATCTCTGCTTCGTAGCTTCAAAATTTGATTTCAAGGAAGTTATTAACATAAAAATGATAGTAAGGTACTGCATTCGCTTATATTTGTGTACTTACAAAATTTTTTTAATAAGTGAAAAATTCTTGAGCTGGGCCGAGATATTTGTTTATTGGTAACACCAAACGGATGATTTAAATGTACTACGATACATCTAATTCACATAACTAAATTTGATGAATTAGTCAAGAAATTTATTTACTTATGTTATCATTTATTTAAGCAATGTTTATTGATTATATGAAGGAATTACTAATATTTTCGTTCATTCAATCCTAATGGTTTGATATTAATAATATATTATAATTGAACGGAAAAATAAGAAAGAATAATTATGAACTTGATTTCGCATGATGATTCCTACTCATAGAAATATTTTAAATATTTCTTTGTGAATGCTGTGAATGACTGTTGTAGTTAGGTCACTACGTTGGTGTCTATTAGACTTTATAGTTAATTTTTAATAGCTAAAATTTTAGCTAAGATTAATGGCAAATTCATAATTCTGGTCAGTTAACCAGTATTACTAGATTGTTAGATTGTTAGTAACAGCAAATCACGTCTCAGAATGTGACGTTAGCCTTTTTTTAAAGCGAGAAAATTTTTTAAAACGTTATCTGTTACTATTTTTCAATAATTTTACCGTATGTTTAAAGCTCAGCAGATTAACTAGAAACCAATAATTAATTTAATGCTCTAAATAATTAATTTTACAATAGCGCTTTCTATAAATAGTATCATATATGATTCGTTGATAAAAAAGTAAATGCGAAAAAAATATTATTTTTGAAATATAATATTTTTATGCATAATATTCTTTCCTCACAAGATACATCCGGTACTATAACTAATCTTATTGATATGTACGTACTTTTAAAGCCTTTACGTGTATATTGATTTTACTTTTGATCAGCCGGCATATCGCGTTATACTTTTAAAATTTTACGTTATTGGGACAAATAGTAGCGGTAAAAAAGTTTTATTTATTAAGATGATGTGATCAATATGGAAAAAAAATAGCGGGATTAATAAATTGGTAGCTTTATGCCTGAATCTAAACTTACTCAAAGGTAAGTTAATTAAAAAATTTATCCGTTAGAATATATTTTTTTCCGAGTTTTTTTTTGAATAATCATCAATAGTTTCAGTTTATAATGATAACTGATCTGTTCCAATACGAATTTTATCATAATCATGAGCATTTTTATTCAAAATTCATAAGTTGATATTTGATAATATCGATCGGTCTGCTATTCGAAAGTAAGTGTAGTTGTAAAGTAAACTCTTTCTCGCAAAGGTATCGTTCTTGACCTGTACGACGTGTCTGATTTAGCCCGCATAATATATTTTACAATAAGCAAGGGTGGTCAAGAAAATATCACCTGACGGGTCAATATCGATACTTTTGCTTCTTTCTCACATGCAACTTTTAAGAGCTGAACTTCAATTATTACGTCAACGAGTGAGATACAAAGATTATGCAATAAAGAAAAGGATTAGATTCACATAATACATTAACAGTAATGGTAAGATATAAACACAAGACGAAAACAACTGATCCACAAAAATGTTTCGGAATGGTTTTAGGGCTATTATGCTTTCTTTTATTTAGCGTGAAAAACAAACCAGATATTGAAAGTAGTTTTGTTGAAATCATTGCAATGCAAGTAACAAAAATAAAGCTAACGTGATACTAACCATTATATCAGCAGCTTCGACAGAAAATATAGATCATCATCCACTAATATATTATTTTTATACCTGCATAAAGACTATCAATTGTAGATAATAAAGCGCGTTAATTACCGTATAGCACTGACTAAGGGACCCCCGTTTTGGCGTACCCCCTCATAATATACCCGGATATAGGATTTCCATTTTCCATACAAAGTACCCCCGGATACGATTCAATTTTTTTAATGGGGTAAATTGATTTGTACCCGGGTGCTATACGTTAGTGAAGGAAATATAGATCACTCAAATAACATATTAAGAATTTTGGAAATTCTTGAAGTCATATTTACAACATCATATCGTGTTTTTTATCGTGTTTTGCAAATAGTACTGTATAGTATGTTCGCGTAATAATCATCACGTGAATGTTTAAATGTACATCACTTTTTCACGGTATTTTTATCCCGACAGTCTTCATCGATCGTTTCAACTAAACAATCAATCATTTCTTTTATTCTTCGTTAACAATTGCAAATTGAACTTTTCCAATTAAGTTTATAAAACTAGGTTTAATTATTGCGCAATATTAAGAAGATTTTATATTAATTGTTTAATTCCTAAAAACTAGTTTCTTTTATACCGTTGGTTTGTATTGATTGATAGAAAAGTGGATGATTGTCGATAATTTGATTGTCAGTGAGATGCACCTTCGATTAAGGTAATTTGATTGTCGGTTAATTGAGCGGAAAATTTAATTCCATTTAGACTCTATTTTGGATTAATTGAATAGTTGATCGCATTCTCAATTCATTCTATTCTAGACCAAAATGATCATCATTTAGATCAAATTTTAACGTTTCAACAATGTTATGACAAACCAAAGGCTCATCATCACCAACATTTAGTGTTTTATCGATAATAGATAATATTGTATTATATTGTACTTTGAAATTTGAATGTCATGGGCCTCATAATTTTTCGGAGTATATAACTTGCATCTGGTTATGTCACACCAATCATTATAAAAAAACATTGAGGATAAAGATTACATCTTTACTACAACGTTTGAGGAATTTGCTTCATAAAATAATTTATTGAAATTATTTTATTTTAAATTCAAATGGTTTGTCTGAAGTATTTAGGCATTTATGTGCACATTTCTTAAAAAAAATTAGTCTTTAATATTAAATTATTTTTATTAAACATAGGAATAGGAAATTCATATTCCACTCATATGTAATTACTTCTACAAATCAGGCATTTCTTTCTATTCGGGATTAATTATTTCTTGGCTTCTGAACCATAAATTGGACGAAGTAATTTATAATTCTTTAGCCCTGTTTTTCCGAACGAGCTAATTTTTCTCCAATTGGGTATGGTTTCTAATTTGAATTTAGATTTAAGCGAAACGTTCTTCTGATACTACAAACTTTGGTTGTGTTCACAATGCAAAGTCGCGATATTATTATAATATTGAGTTTGTGTATTAAATTATTACTACTAATTGAAAAATACAAATTATTAAAAATTATTGCAAACAACAAATTTAAGCGTTTATAAGTTATTTAATATTTTATATTCCTAAATTGCTACAATAGTATATAAGTTAAAAGCCTACATCGTAATCTATAGATTCATATTTTTTAAACTACAATTTAGATTTTACGATATATATTGGCCTCTCTATCTCTTTATTTTCACATTTAATTGTATCTTTTTTATCTTCATCCTTTTTATTCATTTCTTCTGTCCTTTTCGCTTTGTTCTTTCTTTTCTCTTTCTTTTCTCCCTTTTTCTTTTGTTTTTTGGTTTTATCCTTCATTCGTTCAACTACAAAATATAACAATAACTATTATTATGAATTAAATAGATTTATCAATTATCAATTAAATATTAATAGAATTACTTTGTGTAAATTTTACGCTTCTTAACTTCATTCCGAATCCTCCTGAAAAAAAAAAATATTATGAATAATTAAATAATAAAATCAAGCAAAAATTAATCATGTTTTTACCAGATTCAAAAATAGATTTCAACCAATCAGCATAGGCTTTAATTGCCATCAAAGAAAGTTGGTCATGTTGTTCTAAATTGATGATAAGTAATATTTAGCTATAAAATCACGAAATCTTCGTTTTTTAATAATATTTACCTGTGTTGAATTTTTTAGAATCTTGAGTATCGATTAGGTATCTTATACTTCTCTTATGAGAATATTTGAATTGTACATTATTCTTTGGAATGTACACATCAATTTGAAATGAGCATTTTAATTTAAATTTCTTGAACTTTCCAACGACCGGAGCAAATGTAATCTACCAAAAAGTAAAAAAGAATTAAAGTCAGAACATCAAATTAACGTTCGAACATTACAATAAATAAAATATTGTAGGTCTTATAGAACCCATACAGAATAACTCGCATCACTTTGTTGATTAACTATTAATTTCGTTTTTCTTGATTTATTAGCTTTAAGTAATACTATATAAAAAGATTAGGACTAAGAAAAATATTCTTTTAATATGATAAATAAAACAATCAAATATTACACATAAATATTTACCTTTGGATAATAAGTATTTGATGTTATTGCTCACTTTAATAATATTAACTTCTTTTACGCCAAAAAATTCTTCCTTCATCTTATATTGCAGATAAAGTAAATTTAAACATTTTGCACCTTGGTTTCAATCACGTGTTTTCTAATATCCAAAAAAAGGGACACAAACCTCTTCTAATTCTTCGCTAGTATCATCTAACTTACGAAATTGATTACTCTAATTGGAAAAAAATTAATTTTAGTTCTCATCAAATTATAAATTTTTTTTAAAAAATTATTCTTAATTAAGGTTATATTTTACGTACAGTATCCAAATTTTTCAATATCGTTCTTTCATTCTAAATATTTTTATTCAAAATAAAAATAATTGAATAAATAAAATTATTAAGAAATAAAAATATTCACACATAATCATTTACATTTCGTTCATTCATAAGTAAATTTCCAACTAAGGTTCTGATAGGATTTGATGATGTACAGCCGAAATCATCTTGTGACATTTTGCTATAATAATAAATTCCTTCAAAAAAAAAAAGAAAGAAAAAAATTTTAGACGGGGGAAGAAACTGCGTATTATGAATGGGAAAGAATTTTTTTTTTTTTTTTTTGGATTATAGATAATTATTTTAATTTAACGGAAATGAAAATTTAAATTCCGATTCTAGGAATTTTTCAGCAATTTATACAATTCTGCGGAGCTTGTGATCGAACAGAAGGATAGATTTTCGGTAAGTTACACGCCAGATGCACTGCAATGCATAATCCAGTTCTGTAGTACAAATTTCATGTTCTATTTAAAAGAATTCGCGTTCTAAATAGTACTTGTTTACACGTAAGAACCAATTGTAAAAGGTTGACCCATGAAATCAATGTTAGAAAAACCGGCAATTTGTTAGTTATATAAGCTGGATTTTTCATCTGTATTGTTTCAGGTTCAAAGAGATTCAAATATCGTAAAATTAAAATAGAACAAAAAATCTCACCTACTAGCAAAGAAAAATCTGAATTGGGTCTTGAGGTACGCCTTGTAGACTTCAACCCCTGTTTCATATTTCAGACATTGAGCAGGGATTATCAGTCACCTGATGTGGCATAACTTGTAAACAAGCATGAGATCTCCACAAACAAAAAAAATTAATCTTTTACTTATAAAAATCGGTACTTGGTAGCAAATAAGAAATAGTGAATAGATCAAAAAGATTTTTTTAATCAGTTTTGGTGAATTTTGTGTCCAATAATTTGATTTTTATTTTTTTTTATAAATCAATGTAACAAAAAAAAAAAAATTATAAAAATTATAAACAAAAATTTTTAAAGAGTTTTAAAGGCTTTTCTTCGCAACTTGAAATACTTCGTACTCATCAATTGTAAAACTAGATGGGATGTTAATGTTGGTGTAAGCATTTCCATTACTAGCAGACCAAGATTTATTTTGTGCGTACAAATCATGCCCATTACCAAAAGTTGGCCCATAGCCACTATCACCATATATCGCATTTTGATGATACCTAAAAACACGTCCTATCTTAGCAGAACTGAGGTTTCCGACGTCTGTAATGTAAAATAAAAAGCTTTCGCTTGTATTCATATATGAACCATTCGAGTTCCAACTTAATGGATTATAACCACCAACAATTTGTTTAGAATCTTTAATTCTTGCAATAGAAATCGTAGCGCCTTTTTCATCACATAATTGATGAAACATATCAGGATCAAAACCATCTCTAGTGCCACGCAGAAGTAAGTTGAATTTATATGGTATATTTTGTTGAGTATAATCGTTATTTTTATTATCGATCCATTTCGCAAAGAGCTTAAATATATCATGATTAATTAAAACAGAGGTAGTTTTACGACTTCTAGAAGGTTTGAAATTCAACATTGGAATGGAATTTGGAACCATATGATATCGAAGGATATCATTGAGCAAATCTTGAGGCAAAAGATCTTTATATGGGTACACTCTTAAATAGAAATCTTCCTTAGAAATATCATAAAATCTAATAAATGGAATATATTCTTTTATAGTTTGTTTAACACTTGTTAAATCTTCTGATGACCATGTTGAATCGTCTTTACCGACCTTTAAATAATGAACAAAAAGCCATCTAAGAATAGATTCCCATATATCAATTTCTTCCATATTAAGGTCATCTCTTTGAAGTACCATAGTAATAATCGGTTTTTCTAATGATGAAAAGTTTTGAGACGAAAAAAGAATCTTTGGTTCTTCGCTAATGATTTCTAAGCAATAATCTTTTAGACTTGCGAATGGTTCATGTTGATAAATGATTTGAAGTGTACCAACTGGATCTTTATGCAAATATTCTTCATTTTTAACCAAATATTCTTGGATATGCTCAATCAACTTATCCAAACCTAATTCATCAGACGCGACTAAACATTGCAAAATCACATCCTTGTTGTATTGATTATAATCTATAGTACCTGTATATAAATATCTGTAATATTTTTTAAAAGTACAATAAATATATTGAGATCTTATCGAGCAATAAATAATAAACTAATTAAAAATATTTATTTACCTGAGAATTAATTGGAATACTTCAAAAGAGATATTTGGTTTTTTGAAAATATAATTACCATCATCATCAATTTCCTCCCACTCGTTAGATAATGCTCTCTTAAAGTACGAACATCTAGCACAAAGCACAAACGAATTTGCTCGAAGTTCCTTGACATCAGGATCTTCTCCGGCTTTAATGATTATATCGTAACGATCTTCATTTTGAAGAGCATTTTCAAAATCTTGAATAACTTCTGACCAATAATGAGATGACATGTCTAATCATATAATAGTAAGCGATAAATAAATGTAAATAGTTTTCAAAAGCATCAACTCCTTAAATATAAAAAAAAAGATACGGGTCACATGACCAATTCACGTAACGAACTTGATTTTTAAAAGACGATTAATATTACCAATTAAGGGCTATGGCGTTATTGAACAATCTTCTTGCACATGTTTAGACGTTATTGTTTTTGCAAATGGGAATCTTCGATGAATTACTATAATTCACATAAACGTGTGATTGATTACACTAATCACATGCACTTAATTTATGTAATTCAAAAAAAAAATTAATAATGTTCTGTAGTCAACCAATCAAATGCAAAGCAAAAAAATTATCCCATGATATGTCCAATTTCAAATTTGGCATAATTAAATGCTCACTTGATCAGGTCAAAGCCCTGATAGGGGCATCCTTACTCCTTAGCGATTAATTAAATTATATTTTTGATTTTAATAAAATTAAAAATATTTTCTATAAGTGTCCATTTGATGAGAAGTATACAGAATGGTATAAGAGCTAAAGCTTTTGTAATTTACGAAAATTCCCTTTCATACGATAATTTGTATCCAAATTTTATTATTAAAATATATCCAAAAGTTTGAAAATCGTTTTGTATTTATCGGATCGTATGGAGTATGGCAAATTGTCTATATTTTACATATTAGTAAATGAAACGAGCTGAATATGGGTTGATGAAAAGGTATTAATGCAATTACTTTCAATCGATTCAAAAAAAAAAAAAGATGAATGAATTTCAAGTGCCAATAGCCAGTGAATGCTCATATAACGGTTGCGATATCATTGATGTTATAGAAGAATTTTTTTTTTATCAATAGAAACATCCTCACACTTTTCAACAAATATATATAACGATTTTATAATATTATCATTGGCATAAATGAAAACGGGTTACGAAAAAGTTATACCGTCCATAGCATTGATTGAAAAGCCCGCGTTCGGATTTGAATTACTTTATGTAACATTAAGATGAAGAAATATAACATGTTCAAATTTACGTTCTCGAATGATACGCATATAATAAATATTACGTAATTCTGGTCAACCAAATTAATTCGGCCGGCATTACTTTAATTTAGCCGAAATTTCACGAAGGTATAATGTAACACTATCTCATGCTGTACTACTTTACACAGTAAATAGATCTATAAAAAATTTCATTTCTTGCTCTACTGTTTATTCCCTCTTTTGCCTTTCTCTTTTACTTAAAATAATGATTTCCAGCTTACCAAATGAATGTTTACAACAAATTTTTCGTGATATTAAAGATATTAACACTTTATATTCTATTATCCAAGTAGATCATACATGGTGTGAAAATGGTATCATATATTTATGGAAAAATCCATTTAGAAACGATATCAACATAAAAAATCAAATTAAAATAATTCCTATTTTACTCAATTTCTTAAAAAAAGGAAAGAATACATTATTTGATTATCCTTGTTTGATTACACATTTAAATCTTGATAACCTTTTTAAGATTGTTTCCGAATTTTCAAAGATAAATAATAATTTGTTTAAATCTTTTATATTATTAATGGAAAAAGATGAATCATTATCATTAATATTTCATAATATAAAATTTTCAGAATGGTCAGAATTTGGTCAAATATGGGTAATTAATTTATTAATATTAGTTTATATGGCAAAAAGGAAAGCCAGTATTCGATGGTTTAAAATAGATAATAAATATGCATATTTTGAAAATTTAATTATTGATAGGATGGAGAATGAAAATGAGTACCATCATATAGATAATGGATTAACCATTGATAGATACTTAGATATTTTTACAGTATTTTTAAAATTTGATGAATCAAAAAATTTTTTCGAAAATTTAGAATATTTGGAATGTGGTCAATTAAATAATAATCATCCTTCATTAGATTCTTTATCAAAAATATGTAGAAAATTAAAAACCGTTCGTATTGAAGGAGATTTTCGTTCTATTTATATACCACTTGTATCATTAATCAAATATCAAAAAAATCTTGAAATTTTACAAATTATTGGCGTTAAAAATAATTCTGGAATGTGGTTTTATGAAAAAAATATATTTGAAATATTTTCATCATTGGAATCTATATCTCATTCTCTTAAAAGATTTGAGATAAGTGGAATAGAAATGATGACAGATGAAACATTCGAATTTCTCGGTAAATGTAAAAATTTGGAAATTTTACGTTTAGAAGATTCAAATATTTCACATAAAAATTTTGATTGGATCTCTAAAGCTGAATTACCAAAATTATATTCGTTGGAATTAATATCTAATTGTGATGGTGTGGATTTTATGAGACAAATTAATCCAATTCAAGGAATTTTAAGAAACAAAATAATTTCTTCAAATTTAAAAAAACTTTACTTACGAAATAAGTTTTTAAAAAATTATGATCTTTTAGAAGCGATCGGTGAAAATTGTAGGAATCTAGTGAAATTTTCTACACAATTAACAGCAAATAATGATATACCGATTTTATTCATAATTCTTGAAAATAATTCAAATCTTAGAGAACTTTACTTAAATATTTATCTGGATATGCATACGGTTGATATTAGTACCGAAATTATTATGGATTTGGCAAAATCTTTACCTGAAAGAATTGATACCGTACAACTTGAACTTTTGGTTAATTGCGTTCATTATTGCAGAATTTTTTTGGAAAATTGTTCAGTAAATTTGAAATATTTTTATATCATTATTTCGATTGATAATGATATTTATGAATACATGAATTGTATTAAAGGATGGTCGAAAGAGAGAGGAAAAAGGATAATGGAATCAAGTTATTATCCTAATTATATGAATTTTTGTAATAAGATTGACGTCGTATGGGATGAAAATTTATCAATTATCTAGTAAGTTTATAATTCGATCTGATTTTTGAAATTTGTATTATTGGTATTATTTGTATTATTTGTATTAATTCTTCTTTCTCTCTATCTCTTTTTTTTTGAAAATTAATGTGAATATGAAGAAATAGGAATTGTTAAATGTGTTCTATGGATTCTGTTAGGTATGAATATGGTTAGTACGTTGATGTAATGGAAGATGATAAAATAAAAATTATCATATATAATCGTAAGCTTAAGATATGAGAAAGATGAGGTCAAAAATTAAGTAAATTTATGAAACAAGAGGATAGGAAGAAAATTGTCAAAATTCAAAAGAGAGAGAGAGAGAGAAATTTTAATTATTAGATCTAATTTTTCTTAATATTTCAACTAATAAATGATTATTTAAACAAACTATTAAAAGGAAAGGTAAAGGAAGAAAAAAAAAAAATAAAAAAAAAATATTTTTTTAATTAATTAATTTATTAATAAATTCAAACATAAGATGTATAAAACAAAAATTAATAATAATAATTTATCAATATAGTTATTTCACCTCTTCTTCTTCTTTATCCCAGCCGAACTTGAGTTCATCAGAATTTGACGTCCGGTTTCTTTCTAAAAATATGACTATAATTTCTGTTTCACCAAGTTAAGACAAGGCAATAATAGTTATGATGGCATTTACCTAATTAGTTTCAATAAATAATGCTGGGAAAGAAAAGAAAAGTCGAGTTATTTGACTGCGCCACATTAAATTATTCTTAGTTCCGCAGCAAAAACATGTGGTGGTGAAGTCTTGATCAAAATCAGAAAAATCAGGACTATTGAAAATCTTTGACGGCAAGATCAATTTCTACATGTGTTGTAATAATATGTAGCATAATATATGTTAATATCCTGCCAAAGTTGGTAAAAAGGATAACTATCAACGAAAATTCTTCATTGGGAATCTATCTTCAAGGACAAATATGCTTTGTTATCCTACTTAAACTTTAACAAGAAGTCATCTTAAAAAAAAATTTCAATCACAGAATTTAGAAGAATTGTTTACTTTTATTAAACGAGATAATTTAAATGAATTCCGTAGCAAATTACGTTTGGCTTTGTTTATCTGTGACGTCATAGAGCTTTCAAACTATGCATATTTAGCATATAATTTTTTGAGTCAACATATACAATCACATTCTTTTTTAACATATTCATCACGTAGTTACGTAAATCACATGAAACCTTGAACAGTGTTTCTTGTAATCGACTAATAGATGAATTATAAAACCGAGAATGCAAATTTTGTATTTCCAGGAGAATGCTTCTAGGTATTTAAATAGTTATTTCGTTATTAAAGTCTGCCCATGTCTTTAACATGCATAGTATCATTAGTATGCGGTGTTTGGATCAAACCGTAACAAAAAAATGAATCGCATATTTTTAGGGTATAACAATTTATAAAGTTGATGGGTCTAATACTTTTAAAACATGCTTTAAAGCATATAATCGTATATAATTGTTAAATATAGTTTATACGTACGAATAAATGCCGTAATTTGTGATAATGATTCGGAAGGAGCGAATCTAGAGAAAGTCAATGTATTATAGAAACAATAATCATCTGAATGATGATTTCTCGCGAGCAGAAAATTGCAATATCGATATCGCCAAGCTTGCTATCTCTCTTGATCAAACTCGTGGAATAAAGAAGAATTTCGTTAGTTTTGATAAAAAACCACGTGACAAAATTTCATTGAGATCAGGGGAAAATAAATGCTAAGAGCATATTTTTATTTTTTCTAATGCACAGTTACACACTCACGCTATATATTGACAACATATACATGTTATAAATAAAGCCTGATGTTATTAATATTACATGATAATACAATATTATAATAATATATGATATATGAGAGTAGCATTTAAAAGAATTAAGTAGTTGTTAATCCTCTTAATGTACTTTATGAAATATCCACCTCTGTCTAGGGACAGCCCCGTTATACAAAGCAATAACTTTACACTCTTCATCTTCTGTTGCACACATATTAGTTTGTTTGCTGGAACAAATTAATTCAGGAAGTTCAGATTCAGGTTCGAATAGCCATTTGGTATTAAGATTTTTTTCAACAGTGAGTTGTTTGCCAGGGCCATTGTATTGGACGGATTTTTTAGGAATATCATAGGGTAAGAGTAAGATGTAATTGCCTCCAGAATAACGAATAATTGTCCAGTTAGCAGCTTGTTCTCGTGGTTTTAAAACAACTTTAATATTATCTAATGCCCAAAAAAGATCAGAGCCCGATGATTGAATTATCATAGTTTCATTGGACAGTTGAGCAACAGCAGTAAGGGCGGTTGAAAGGAGCAAAAGAAAGTTAAATTTCATTTTGATTTTCTGTTGATTTTCACTTTTTTTTCTGTATAGAATTGTTTTTTTTTCTATTTCACATAATGTGGAGTTAAGGCGTATTTATACATATAAAAATCGGGTATAATTGGAGCTGCGTCATCGGGACACGTCACATGTCATTATGTCATTATGTGTTAATAAAAGTCCAGCTATGTGCTGTTCGTCTATGTTTTCTTGAATATCGAACTGGTAAAATACCCGGTATTATATTAGGGACTACAATGTAAAAATGTAAAATATATTACGCAATATAAATTCTTTGTAACCCCTTATATACGTCAACCCTTCAAAATTTGCAGGTACTGCGGCCCGTGATATATGGTAGTTAACACACGAAATAAATATATTACAAAGATGAGACTTTTTCTATCTTATCTATACTAAACTATATTCTCGAACTAGTTTACTTTTAATTGCTGGCTCTTTCTCAATGTCTACTTTATTCTTCAATAATCCTACGATTACATCCACCTCCTGCTTAATGTTCTTGCATAATTTGTTTCGTTTTCTTCTTTAGCTAAGATCTTAAATTGATGTGGTTGGTATTCGGTCTCACTTGTACAAGATATCCCTTCTGATACGAACATGAAGGTTCTGTCCATTTCCGAGTAAATAATTCTCATATTGGCATAGGCTCCAATAAGGACAAGCGGTTTGGTGTATTCTATATACTCCAGTGTGTATAATATGAAAAGCGTCTTGTGTGAGTTTTATTAAAAGGAAAATTATCTGGAACAAGAGCAATTGCTTTATTTACACGAGAAAGTCACCAAGTTCTATGAGTTATTAACATTGGCGCTGATACTATTTCAACCCAGGAATTTCTTATATCATAACCCATAGCGTATTACGTTATTCATTCATTCATCTAATAATATCTGAAAAATTTTTTAAGACTTTCATCTTCATCTAGGCCTTGAATTTTAATAATCCTTCAAACAGATGTATACAATATGGAAGGTATTCTAAGCTATCTCCGAGATATGTATTTAAATGGGCCTATCACCACGCTTTCTAATGTAATTTGCCATAATAATTTAACCTTACCATCTTAATGGGGAATTTTCATTATTTCTTATGTAGAACTATAGTTGTAAATTCTATTCGAATAATTAAGAGTAAGAGGGAATCATTCTCAGAGTGTCGGAGCGTCAACTTTAAGTACTGATATCATTCTTTACGAAATGGATCAAATTTGTAAAAGCTTTTGAATACGCTATCATTAAGAATTGTTGTATTACTTATTCCAATGTAAATAGGAAAGGAATTTGCTAAAAAACTAAGTGAAAAAGGGCGATATAATAATAATCATTAATTAAATCATTAGCACTTTTATCAACATCATTCTTTAATCTAAAATACATAAATGGGAAAATTATGGGGAAATTAATGAATTTAAATAATATACAATTTCAGAATTAACAGGTCTTTAAAGAGTAGGAAACAAATCTACTATTGATATTAAACTATTAATGAAACAGGGATAAAAGAACCGAACCAGAATGTTCTTTACAAATACAACTTTGAAGACGACTTCTCTTCTTCAATATTCATGCATTATTTTTGAGAATCCTTTAGTTAAGGTCTAAATTTATGTATATAACACGCGTTATAAGAATAAGCAATATTTCTTGAATCATAATAAATAAATATGAAAGTCCAAGCTTTATTTATTAAAATCCTCATGAATTTCAAGCGACTACACATAAACAACTTTAAATTATGAGTATTAACCGGTATGTTACAAAATTACATTGTATTTACTAAGTTCGATATAAATTGTCTTAGTCTTATTTCAATAAATTATATGAAATTATATAATTTCTCTTTCAGCTAAATAAGAGAGAGAAATTGTTAATTGTGGTATAACGTTAAAGAATATCTTTTTTTTTTTTTTGTTAAAAAGTAAATATATATAGTTTCGACACGATTATTTGATCGAATTAAAAATATATTTGAACAACTAGAACGTTTGATCACGCCATCATTCTTGTAAGCCACCATTACGATCACTGTTCAAACTTGTCCAATTTGCATAACATTTCCATAACATTTCCACAAAAACTGAAAATCTGGCGTTCACCATGGAAATCGGAAGGTTTCCACCAAAATTTTAATAGTATAAAACCATATCTCTTCGATCTGTGCAACCAGATGACAATTCTTATCAATCAATGTACGAATAAGATTGGGAAAATTATCATAATATTCTTCTTTAATAAGATAATCATTAATCAACATTTCCCTAAGGTGGCCTCTATTTTTTTCAATTAAACAAATTTTATAGTGTTAATGTATTTAAAGATCTTAAGATCATGATATACTGAATTCGTCAATTTCTCACCATAATAGAAATCAATTAAGTTCGGAAGAATTTAAATATTTCAGTATATAGATGATCAATTAATTTAACAATACTTTTTAACTCTGAGTGATACCCGTAAAAAAAGATGTGTAACCAGTGAGAATCTTTAGCTTCTGTGTGGTGCTGGACTGAAATTACTTTAATTCTGAGTGTTACTCATAAAAATTATCGCTGCAAAATAATTTGATCACAGGATGAAGATCCGATAGAAATTATATTATTAATAACGTTTATATTGATAAGTAAATATGATATAATAATAAAGCGTAAAGAACTTTGGTTTCGATAATTTACGTTATTGTCATAGCGCCAAGGGCTCCCCCGTAGAACAAAATAGCCGTTTCACACCAAAGTCATTAATTAGTAGAGTGCACATCTTGTAATTCAACAAATAACAAGAAAATATCTTTATGAAGCCTAGACATCTTAATTTGTGTTAACCATATACATTCAAAAAAAAAAGAAGAATATTACGTAGCTATGGTAATCGCTTTGCCGATCAACCTCATCGATATTGCATCAGAAAAAGAAAAATCTATGAACTATCAACGGCTCTAGATGCGTATGTTGAATTTGTATAAGCTGCCCATTACTATCAAAAAAATGATGAATACACGAAATTCATCCCGGATATAATCTTATCTATATTTATATAGCTTAGGAAAATATATATTTCGCACGTAAATATCGAAACCAATCATTAGAAAAATATTTATTATAGTTTCATTATAACATTAAGTTTCCAATCTACAAATATCAAATTGCATCAGCTTGGGCCGGTTACGTCAAACTTCATTTTATTCACGCGTTGAATTTTGTTTTAAAGCGAGATATTCATGTGAATCATGTCCCAGATCATAACTTCCATTACAAAAAATTAAGGAGTTATTCTGGTGTTTCAAAATCAGAACCGGCCATCTAAAATAGGAAAAATACAGACTGTCAGTAATAGAAAACAAAACCATCACCGATATACCCCTTGAATTGAGTGGTGTTAATAATGAAGACAAGTGGGTACGAAATCAAAATGATTATTAAAATTCCTTTGAGTATCTTACACAAGTAATAAATAGTCTGAAGTTCTTTGCGCATTAAATTCATCAATTGTAAGTTCCCATAAAACTGACTTCGAAAACTCAATCAGATTGACGATTTAATCTGAATATCTAAAGAAATTTGTTTCTATACATTAAAAAGTGAACCGAATTTTTAGTAAGATAATAATGTTTTGTATCAGGAATAATAATAAGTTGATTGTTTTAAAATTATTAAAATTATATACTAATTCAACGTGAATCTATTTAATGAATTTAAAATTGTGGCATTCGTACAAACAAAAAAATTCTGTATAGGACAAAATCAATATCCAATTTTCTTAGATTTAAATGCAAAGATAGTGAAAATTATTTATATGATGAAGTACACACTAGAAATAAATTATAATGAAATTTCTTTTTCTAAAATAAAATATATCATTAAAGATACATTGTAATAAACTCGCTCTAATATACTAGATTTATATCTATACCCTAATATTCGACTTTATTATCACACCTTCCTTAATATATTTTCTAACAATAACTTTATTTTCTTCCGAAATATTTCTTATCTCAAAAATAGATAAAGGTCGTTTTTCCCTATGGCTTTCAAAAAATCGTTCAAAGGCATTAATTGAATAATTCCAACTTCCGCTAAGTAATATTTTAGTTAATAGATTTGGTGAAAACTCAGTTAAAATATCCAACAATTCATCTCCTATGTTATCATCTGTAATTACGGAAGCCAATCCATAAAATTTTATATCCTCTAAATATTTACAATTTAATAATAATGATTTAACATGTATGAAATCTTCTGATCTAAGATAAATGGGCAAACTTTTAATCTTTGGACAATTGTTTGCAATTGCTTTAATGAACAATCCCGTATTTTCAGCGAATCTATTGAAAGTAAAAAGAGAAATTTCTGAAATACTTCCCCTCGTTTTTTCAATTAATTGTGCCAACTCTTTAAAGCAAGATAATCCGACGATAGAAATATATTGAAGATCTGGAAATTGAGAAATTGCAAGATAACGTTGAAAATCTACAATCTCTTTCCTAATATCATCACCCTCATAAATTGTTATACCCTTTAGATTAATGAGTGATGTTAAGAACGAAGGTGAAATAGATCCAATTGGCCCCAAATAAAGATTATTTATCATACTACCCTTTCTTGCTAATGCTTTACTTAATTCTTTACAAGTTCCTTTCTTATGAGCAGGATAAAGTGATACATTTTTTAAATTCTTTTGAGCATCGATTAAAGAAATTAATCCGGGAAGATCTTGAGAACAATTGTTAATAGTCAATCTATTCAAATTTCTACAAATTTGTGCCATCTCATAAAGAACGTCAGAATTTACAAAATCAACATCAACATCCAGACTACTGAGTTGAGAAAAGCATGTTAAAGCTCCTGAGAATAATGGTAAAGGTTGTGAAGTTTCCCAACATAATTCTTTAACACCCTTACATTGTTCAACAAACAATTTGTAAATTTCTCGTTCTAAAATATTTTTTTCATCTAGTTCTTCTTTATCATCTAGTTCCTCTCTATCATCTAGTTTCTCATTATCATATAATGTTTTTCCATAATCTAATGTTTCTCCATCATATAGTATCTCTCTATTATATCTTCCTTTAAGAACAATTCCTATTATTTTATTTATAATTTTGGGTTTCGGAAATTCGCAAAAACTGACATAATTGAATAAAGGAGATTTTGTTGAGGGTAATTTAATATTATAATCGGATAAAATTTGTTTTGAAGAGGATGGTAAACAAGAAAATATTGCTGTAAAAAGTTTTTCTGGTTTGTCCTCGTTACACCACGAATGATTTTTCCATAAAATTGGGACTGCAATATTGCACCATTCTTTATTTACTAAAAGACAAGAGCGTAAAGATCTTTTATCCATTCGTAGCTCATTAATAATAAGATTAAAACAGTCTATATTGATCTTATTGAACTTTGTCATTTTTTTAAAATAACAACAAATTGCAGGAAGAAAAGAAAAAAGAGAAAAAACTATTTAAGCCGCAATTGTTTTTGTATGACATAAATGTAGTACAATCCAAATGTGTGATATGACAACATGATCAACCGTTGATCAAAAAAAGTGGCTTAGACAAGACGCTAATTATTAATTTAAATATATAGTAGATAGTATTTCTTATTGATATTTTTATGGATGTAAGCTAAAAAGTCTATCAGTTACAAGACGTTAGTTTTCGTGGTATAAACGAGTTATTTCATTCACGAATCAGCCTCGATTTCAGCTCCGCCGCGGTAATCAAGATATCTATGGTTTCCCGTGAAATAACTATTACATATTTATATAATGGTAATAATAGTACATTATTTTTGTTTATTTGTAATGAATATTTGTTACACCACATATCACCTAAAGTTTTCATAATAATTGAACGATATGTTGGGCTAATAATTTTTATATATTTTCGATAAATTTGATATTCTCTAAGCTTCGTGCGTAGGATTTTTTTATAGTGTAAAAAAACGCAAATTATTGATTTAATTTCATATTAATCAAAATTTTTGTGATTCTATTCGCAAGTGTCAATAGTATTTTATTTTGAACAAATTTCCTCTTGGCATACGCTTTGCTTAACGCATTAATAATCAGAATTCTTGTTGGCATAGATAAATCTGCATCAAAAGATTCATATTGAATTTTTAATGAAAAACTAAAAGCAAATGAATAAAGATTTTATTCTTAAAGATTTTTGGTACATAATCATTGAAAATTCCGTCGCGACGTTCACTGTATTTCAATGATCATGACATCAATGCCAAGAGTTCATTGATCGGTGTAGTGTAAACAAATTATTACCAAATTAGATACAGTAATTGTTTATTCATAAAATTGCCAAATCTAAGTCATCTCCTCTCATACAAACGTATTTTAAGGAATTATTGATAAGACAATTTCCGGATTAATGTCCAAATATCGTCTTTCATATCATTCATACTTTGGTGTTGACATCTACTTATGCATAATTTGTGGATTGAAAAAGATCTCATTATTGACCTAAATGCAAAATCATTGAAAGTTCCCTTTGGCGCTACGAATAGCAATGATAATTTATCTAATTAAAAAATAAAATTTTTCGGTCGTATAAAAACTGACATTTTTGTAGACATTTGATTTTATGAATGAAAATCAACAAACAAAAACATTGTTATTTTTCCAAGAAAAGAGTCTCAATGGTAAAATATCCATCTTCCGTATTTATTTCAATAAATTTAGCATATTTATATGTTTAGAATTATTCGTGATATATCACAAAAACCGTACAAGGAAGTTCGGTAATAACTTTCGGCAATGTGCCAAATTTAGCGAGATAAAAAAATAATATTTAGCTAATTAAGGTTAGTTAACATCAGTTGACCAGGATTAACATTATTATAAAATTAAAATGTGCAAATAAATACACAAATTACAATATGTGATCAAGTCTGCTGACTGTCCCACAATAGCAAAATTTCATTAATGATTTTTAAAAACAATTTTAATATAAAAAGCATATCAAATTTCAACGATCTTTTAATATTAGATAATACCTCTTACTCTCATGAATTTTTAAAAGAAATAAATTATGTCAACAAGCGCAACAAACCCTTATGACTCTAATAATTCTCAAGGTTTTAATGGATTAATAACCACGCAGGTTTGTAAAAGGCAAATAATAAACTCTTATTTTTTTTATATTAACCATTTTAATAATGAATTATAGCCAGAGAGTAAAAAGCAAATGCAGCCATCCTATGCTGCTGAGTATCCAATAGCAGATAATTCTCATACTTTTTATGGTGGAATGCTAAATTGTCTTGGGAGTTGTGTTGGTTTTATTGGCTCAGTAAGTTTTACTATAATTTGATCCGCAGCATTTTAATTATTCCAAATTAATATTATCATTGTTAATTAATTAAATAGATTCCTGTTTGTCCATGCCCCAGTCCTTATAAAAAAATTGAACAAGGCCATGTTGGATTAATTACTCAATTTGGTAAATGCAGTAACCTTTTTTTATGAATAGGAAAACTGCTAGAATATTATTAATTTTTCTTTTTTTTAAAAAATCAAGGTAAATTTTATAAAATCGTTGATCCCGGTTTGATTAAAGTAAATCTGTTCACCGAACATGTTCATAAAGTCGATGTTAAGGTATTATTATACTTTGGTAAACTCGTTGTTTTGATCACGTTTTGATCTCATATTTGAATTAATAGATCCAAATCACAGAAATTCCACATCAATATATTATGACAAAGGTATTTTTATTTGTATTATTTATTTATTTTTTTATTGTAATATTATTAAATTTTATGATTTTTTTTTTTAATATAAATTAGGATAATGTATATGTTGAAATTTTTTCTGTTATCTATTGGCATGTAGTTGACCCTTATCAAACAATGTTTGGTATTGCGAATGTTCGTAAAGCTCTTATTGAACGGTTAGTTATATTAATTTCGTGTTTTCTTTAATATAATTTGAAATTTGCTAATTTTTTTTATTTAATAATAGTACTCAAACCACGCTTCGCCAAACTCTTGGTGCACGTATTCTTCAAGACTGTATTGAAAATCGGGATGCAATTGCTTTTGAAATTAAAGAAACTATCGATGAACCTGCTAATAGATGGGGTGTAAAAGTATATAATTGCAATAATTCTGAAATTCTTTTTTAGTTTGGAAAGTTTTCTAAGACCGGGTAACTCTTTTTAACTTCAAACAAATTTTATAGGTTGAAAGTATCTTAATTAAAGATATAGTGTTTTCTAAGGAATTACAAGAATCTCTTTCAACAGCTGCTCAACAAAAGAGAATTGGTGAGAGTAAAGTTATTGCCGCGCAAGCTGAAGGTATTTAAATTTTATTTTACACAATATTTTTCCTTTAATATTTTCACTTTACTTACTCATTTTTTTAATTAGTTGATGCTGCTAAATTAATGAAACAGGCTGCTGAACTTCTAAATTCACCAGCTGCTATGGTAAGTTCTTATCCAAATAATATACGAATTTTAAGTATCTTATTGTTAATTAATTTTGTCTTCTATTAGCAAATTCGATATCTTGAAACAATGTCATCGATGTCCAAAGCTTCAGGAACTAAAGTTATTTTTATGCCATATAGTACAAATGATTGTTCTAATAAAAATCTTGATCTTATTAAAGCTTCTGTTTATGAACAAATTGCCGATCAAAAAAATTAGTTAATAATATGTGACCGATGAATTTATCTTTCTTAATAAGTTGATTTTTTTCTTTGCCATAATGTTTCTAGATATTTTGATTGATTTATGAAGAGTGAATTGGCTACTTGTTTAAATAAGATATTACTATTATTCCAATAAAAAATCAAGTTAAATAATAAATACAATAAATGCTATTTTCCATTATCCTTTATATCGTTTCATCGTTAAAGAATTTTTTACGTATTATTTTATATTATGGGACAAGTATACTGGGATTCTATAATGGATTAGATCAAACTTCATTATAAACCTTTAATCCAATCTATAATTTTTATTCTACAATCATTATTTTTTCGATTAATAAATTGACTATTTTCCTCAATCCCTATAAAATTTATGAGTCTCTTTTTGCATACGTTCATCATAATACATCTTTCAAACGTTTAATGTAACATTAATGTGTAAGTTATGTGGCAAATAATGCCGAAATTGAATCACGCGATTTAATGATTTATGCTTGGAAGGATAGCATAATTATATGTAGCTAAACTCATAGTGTAGTTAATATTCTAAACTAATATTCTGTAAACTATAATTGAACTTTTATACAATCTTGAAGACTTTTTACACTACTTTTACTATTTAATTTACTTACAATTTATTAGTTACTCTAAAGTTTATCCAAGAGTTTAATTATAAATTTTTAGGATCTCTCTTCCAATTTGTTATTATTAGCTATACACTTTTATATACATATATTTTAAAAAATATTTTATTTTACATATTAAAAAATCTTTATGACTGATTACCTTTAAATTAAAAGAAAAAAATAATAATTTTGTTTAAAAAAATAAAAAAATATGATTTATTTTATATATATTATAAGAATTTTGAAACTTATTTAATTTTCATTTTTAGTAACTACTGGTAATTTTTACCTTAATTTTGTATTATATTTTACAATTTTGCAAATAGAAAATTATAAATATATTACAGTATTTAATATCATAATTATATAATTTATATATTTTTTATTTGTTACTTTGACTTTTTTATTCTATATTATTAGTAAATTAGTAGATTAGCTAAGCTAATTTTATCAATATAATAATTATATTCCTATTCTTATTTTTCAATATTTGCAATATAAAAAAAAATAGTACTAATTAAAACTTTTTTTTAACTATTTTTTAAGTAATTTAATTAATATAATTTGTTTGGTTTAAACTATAGTTTTTAAATAAGTACATACTATAGTATTAAACGTATACATGCTACCCAAATTATTTTGGGATGCCATAATTATAATTTGGGATGCCATAATTCATTCGGTTTATATATAATTTACTATGTAAAGTGCCAAAATAATTTGGGATGCCATAATTGAATTTGGGATTTTACTTATAATTACGGCAGTCCAAAATAATTTGGGTGGCATGTATAATTAAACGGTATCTGATCAAAATCTTGACAGTCACTTGCACGACTAACACAAGATCAACAACAAAATCTCGACAATCCAAAATCTCGGCAATCCAAAATCCCAACAAGTCATTATATCGACAATTTTGTGATGTGTATTTCTAATAAAATAATTTTTGCAATATGTAATATTTAGTTTAAATGTGTTATAATTTTGTCGGGATTTTGACTTATCAGGATTTTGACTTGTCAAGATATTGGATTGTCGAGATTTTGTTGTCGGTCTTGTATCAGTCGCTCAAATGATTTTTGAGATTTCGTACCAAAACCAGTATTAAACATCAGTATATCAGTGATATAATTTAAAAAAATTACTATTTATATTTTATAAGTAAAAATATGTTTTTATTACTTTAAAATATAACTTTATTATTTATTATTTTGGTTATATAAAATTATCTTTTATATTTAAATAAAGTTATTTAATAAGTTAAATTATTTGTATTTTAATTTTTATAAAGCTAATTTAATATTTATATATATAACAAATATATTTTATAATAATATTAACTTCTAAATTTTTTGTTTTTTTTATTTATTAATTTTAGAATATAATTTTAATATTTTAGTCAAATTAATTAATTTTTTTATCAATTAAAAGTTATATTTTTTATAATATTCCTAATTTTCAAATTTTTATTATTTTATTTGTTAATTTTACAGTATAATTTCATTATTTTAGTCAAATGAAAATCAATTTTCTTCATTAATTAAAAGTTATTTAGTAAAATTAAAACTATTTATATATTAATTTTTATGAATATAAGTATAATACTTATAGAAAAAAATCATATTTTTTATAATAATATTAGCTTTTTATTTATTAAAAGTTATTTAGCAAATTAAATTTACTTATATTTTAATTTTATTAATATAAATAAAATTTTACTTATTTTTAATAGAAATTATTATAAAATTTTTAATATTTATATATAAATTTATCTTATTTTTTAAAATTATTTTTAACTAAAATAAAGTATAAATAATAAATAAAGGAAAATTAAAAAAAGTTTTAAAAATAAAATACTAAATTGCTAATAATAAAAGATTTAAAATTTATATATAAATTTATTTTAATTTAAAGTTTTAATTAATTATAACATTTAATAGTTATAATTTAAATATACAATTACTTGAAATTATAGCAATATTTATAATTTTTTTACTAATTGATTTTTAATAAAATTTAATATACAGTCAACTCTCAATAAATGTAGGATCAGGTATAAGAGTGCATTTAAAGAGGGTGTGCATTTATAGAATACATATAAATCTACAGTCAAAGCTCGTTATAGTGAATCTCATTATAGTGAACATTAAATAAAATCGCGTTATAGTGACCTATTGATTTTTTTCCTTATAATTAATTTCTCTCGATATAGTGAATTTTCTTAATAAATCTCGTTATAGTGAAAAAAAGGGAAAAAATTACATAGTGAAACGGAAAGTTCACTATAACGAGCTTTGACTGTATATGATATTAATCTAAAATCAAGGTAATCCAAAAATTTTATAAGTAAACTATATAAATTTTTTTTTATAAAGGATGTATTTAGGACCCCGGATATCTCCAAAACAGGTCATAAGTCACACTTTCGGCAGATTGGCCCATTTTTCAGGGCTCAAAAAATCGTTTTTTGTAAATATCTCGGCATCCAGTGGTCCAATTTTGATGAATTTTTTTTTAAANTAAATGAGGGCTACAAAATAAAAAAAAGTTCATTAAAATTGAATTACTGGATGCTGAGATATTTACAAAAAACGATTTTTTGAGTTTCAGCAAAAAGGGGTGTTTTTGGCCAAAAGTCCATTATGACCTTTATATTAGATATCCGGGGTCCTATGTATTTACAGAATATATATATATATAAACCATGCATTTAGCATTAAGGTCCAAGTTAGAATTAGATAAAAGATGCATTTATAGAGAGTGTGCATTTATAGAAAGTGCATTTATAGAGAGTTGACTGTAATTATAAAAGAATTTAAATTAATAAAAAAATATGAATTACTAAAAAGGTTTTTTTTATATAATTGCAGTATATTTGCTAATTTATTAAATTAATTGTTTACAAAATATAAAAAAAAAACTAATTCTAAATTGTACTTTACATATAATCAGATTAAATCAGAGAATAGTAAATATTTAAAATAATATGTTCTTAATTATATAGTTCTACTGACTTTCATATTCTAATTAACTACAAAATCTATTATACTATGATATTTATATATTTTTCTTGCAAATTAAAGTAAAATAAAAAACTCCTGTATATACCTCACAATATATCTATTATTTAGAAATCCAAGTAGACATCAAATAGAGGTTTATATATGAAATATAGGATTCTGATGTATAATTTATTAATAACAATATAAAATAAAGATCGTAAAGCTACACAGATTTGATCTACTTTTCTATAAAGTTAGTGAAATAATATGGATATCAACTATTAAGAGCCTATTATATCTGGTAATTTAAAAGTTTTGTTTATATGAAAGAAAATTTTTATTGGATATCGTCTTATACAAATATAAATATTTAATAATACTGAAAATCTGTTCCTTCATAATTCCTTAAAATTGCACCACCAAACATAACCTTCTAATAAAATATAAATAAATAAAAAATTGATAAAAAATAAAAACAAAAATTGATATGAAATAAATAAAAGAAAAAATTTCTATATATAATAAAAAAACCAAGTAAAGTAACATTTTGTGATTTAGGGTAATAATTTTATTTTTATTTTTGATAGTTTTTGGTATATATGGATTGAATTCATTGAAATAAATAAGATTGAAAGGTATAGTTATCAGTTATTTAAAAATTGCATTTTTACAGGAATAGCTAAACATTCAGCTGGTAGTTAAATCATTAGTTCTGATAAATTTTCAAATCCATAATCACTTATTAGGGTTTTATATAAAATAAAAGGATTCTTTTACATTAATTAATTGTTATTGTTAAAGTAGAAAAGTCTGAAAGATATTAAGAAAAATATCTAATAGAAGTTTCATATATATACAGAAATATTTATTATTATATATTTTTTAGTAATATGATGCGTTCCCATTTTAAAAGGAGTTTAGATAAGAGAAAAAATAGTGTTTTTGATAAAAAGTAAAGAGAGAAGCAGCTGATATAATTCTAGAGTGTCACTTAAAATTTGTAAAAATATCATCTTAATAATTTTCAGAAATAAACAGAAGTTTATTTATATTTGTCTTAAGCCTTTTCTAAAAAATCAAAGTAAGTTGGTTTACTATCAGTCTAGAATCCCGCCTACTATTAAGATAGGTCACCCTGTGACCTAAGGTAAAGTTTACATCATATGGGCTGATTTGTCTACTCTGCATTAAAAAGAGTTATTGATTGATTTTCACAATTTTTATTACTCAAAATTGTTTTGTAATACTAAAAAATCATCTGATTGATGATCACTTGACTAAATAATAAGTTGAACAAAAATTTACATTTGCGAAACTTAAATTATTAAATGTAAAAGAGCTGTGAAAAAACCCATTTCACTAAT